GAAAAATGAAGAAAACATCTGTAGTATATGTGCATTAACGATCAAAATGAAAGCATGAGTCTCTGCTTTCTTATTATGTGGTATTTACTATATGTATCATATTACTTATATACCCTTATAACTTTTTACCGTTTCTCAAGATTATTATAGTATTGTTTACTTTAGGACAACATTGTGAATATAATACGATATATTACATGGAGTTCAAGTCTATTCTTAGTTATTTGAGAGATTAGAAATATTTGAATTCGATGTTAAAAAATAAGCTTAGTTTATGACAAGAAATACCATTCCTCTTGTGGAGCTACTATATATTCCTAACAAATATAGCATTATGTGCTCTAAGTTATTCGTGGTCGCACAATCTATTTTCCAATATAAACTCGGTGAGTTAGACCTAGGGATGTCAAACGGGTCGAGCGGCTTGTCGGCTCGTCAAAACCTGGCTTGTGGGCGGCTTGGGCTCGTCATTTGACGAGCCCGAGCGGCTTGTGGGCACACAGCCTACGAGCCATTTTGACGAGCCCACGAGCTCGTCAAAAAACATTGATTTTTTTTTAAAAAAAATGTCCAAAATGTGCAAATTTACCAAAAAAAAAAAAAATTAAAAAAATCACGAGCTCGTGGGTTAAAGGACTGAGCCGACTCGGCCCGTTGTCATCACTAGTTAGACCTTCAGATGGATCTAATTGATTATTTTTTTATTTCAAATCAAATTTGTTATATGTGAGTGAGAGATGTTAAAAATGGATAGACCGTCCATGTGGATTGATTGGACCACTTATCATTATAATGGGTTGGAGAGAGAAGTTAATATTTGAATTTGAAGAATAACTTTCCACCACCCATAACCAACCACAACCCCCTTGTCTTCTATACACATGGAAGTGAGAGGTTGACACACACAACAAAATACATGAAAATTCGTATAGAAAAATGGTAGAAATTTTAAAAAGCAAAAGAACCACCATTTATTGGACATACAATAATCACATAAATGATATTTAGTTTGTGGATCCTTCCACTATGATCAAGTTTGGACCAAAAATGGTTCAAATAAAGAAAAGACAAGGTATACAATCAAGTAATCTTGGGAATTCTTCAAGTAAGTTTCAACAACCTTTGATCAATTAGAAGCAAGTTAAGACATATAGTTTTACAAGAAGATATAAAGTAGTAAGATGAGCCACTCGGCAAAATTAAGGCTCTTACAACAATCTTGAGCATGGACCCGCACAACTCTACCAAGATTTTAAGACTACAGATTTGGTGTTGGCATTCCATCTCCATGCGTTGGACAGAAGAAGAAGAAGAATAAACACAATGTTTTTTCAACCTCATAAGAATATATTCTGTGGTGGACTGCTATACAATGCACAAGTTATCGATAAGGCATTTTAGCATAGGGTCAGCAATATTATGCAAGCATGTGAGAATCTGATGAAGTCTGTTGGCTTATATGTCAGGGAAAAAAAAAATATAACGTACATAAATATATTCCAATCGCTAACATTTTAAGGGCGTAAAATCGAACACAACTTCATCTTACCGAAACCAAATTCGACAAGAATAAACAAGAAATGCATGAATATGAATTTGGTCGAGGCAAAAATTGAACTATTTGGCCTTAAGACGATTATGCCCCACATGGATGCTGATGATTTTCCTATATTCGTCTCTCAAGATATAACGATGAGCAATTCAAATTACATAGACCAACGAACTCTTTATTATGAAACTCTATTCAAAGTAAATGAACAAATGAAAATGCATCAACATGACATACAATTAAGAATTTAATGGATTAAAAATCCAAACACATTGGGTCTATATGTAGTTGTTAAAAAGTTGAAATCTTAGAACCCAACAAAAAACACAACTATTAAAATTAGTCTCTGAATATAAAGAGACACGCTAATTGGAAAATAATAACTCCAAAAGTCATGATTTTTCATATGGAAAAACACACCTTTCAGCTAGCCAACAGTTCTAAAATATTCCATAATATTACACATAAGTTTTCAATAATTCACGTATTTAAGTGGCTTAATTTCTCATTTATCAAATTATGATTTTCACTTAAAAGATTAATTAAAATTGGTCAAAACATTCCGACAATATATACAGACAATGGAAATAACTGTTATCTCCAAAGCGATTCATGCTAGTCCTCTTCTTTTACGCCATTAATTAAGCACTCAAACATAAAACATGCATCAATGACCAATGCATGAGATTATGAGAATATTTATTGATTTACTGAAAGCAAGCATTAGACTAATCGTTTCTGTCCAATATTTCAGATGTATCAGTGCCTCTACTTATAATTCTTCACTTCTGTGAAAAGATAAGCTACACACGTAGTTATGAAGTAGAAAATAATGTATTCCTAGATAATAAAGTGCTTAAATTTTAACAAGTTGATATCTAAATTTATGTAGAATGTTAACATTTGTTTAAATTTAACAATTTATCGATTTAAATAGCATTATTCATACTCATTTGGACGGGTAAAAATGTAACAATGAATATTATATATTTAAAAAATAATTAAAAAAAATTGTCAGTGAAACTTATTTGTGTAAAACAGAGATTTATTGAAATCATTATTATTATTTATTTTTTTAAAAAATGGATAAGTTTATGTATATTGAATCGCATGAAATTAATTATAGTGTAAGGAAAAGTATAAAAGGATTTTTAAGAAATTAGTAATATTTATTGTTGATAATCTTAGTATTAGCCCCAAACGCTAAAATGTACGAGAGTATAAGAAAATGAGCAACAAGGTTAAACTCCACTAACAAGTACTAGAAAAAGTCTCCATTTTTGTAAAAATACATTTTTCTCTCTCTCTTTTCAATCACACATTCTCAATAAAATAATGTTACACATTCTGTATTTTAATTTTTTTCTTTTATGTATTGTACAATTGAAAATGCAAATTATTATTAAAGTAATAGAAAAATAATTGGTGAATTTGTATTAAATGAAAATTTATTATATTAAAATTTATAAGTAAACGTACAATTATTTTTTCTAAAACTATTAAACGATGTGATATTTCTAAGATATGTTATTAAATATTGTGATTTGTCAAACAAGGAAATCGGTGTATTAAAATGTAGGCGACATTTATGAGAGGTGTCGGGCAAAAAATATATTTTTAAGTATTGTGAAATATTAATTATACCCTCTAGCGCATGAACGTATCATAGCATAAGAAAATGATCAACAAAGTCTAACTCACAATTTAAAAATTAAAAAAAATTAAAAAAATAATAATAATAAATGAAGGGAAGTAATTGATTGTATTCCCCAGAAGGGGTGTAAGTGAATACAAAACTATAGTAAGCAAATTGCTGAAGACGTGTTCGTGATTTTTGGAGCAATAAAAGCATGCTTAGCTATAAAAGTGTCACAAGCACAAAAATTGTAATTTACCCTCTTAATCTCTGTTTACTGCAATATTCTGCAACAAATCAGCCTGTTGCAATCTTCGTTGCCAGTAATTCCAGCCAGATATCACCAATTAATCGTATATTAAGCAGTCAATCCAAAGTGTTTCCTTGTCATGCCCTTTCAAACTGAAATGACTATGAATTCCTAGCTTGTTTCGAATACTTCGAAACTCTATAAAATTATTGTTTGCTAGTGGCGTAGTGAAGACATATAGGAATGAACATTCTCATATAAACTTTTTTTCCTCAAACAAAAAGGTAATCAATATCTATATGCTTATAATGCACGTGGAATACGAAAATAACAGGCGTGTACAATTGTTATTGGATATTCATATTTCTTAAATTGCTTATATATTAGGGTTTTGACTATTTATCAACGAGTCATTATCTTGTACAGATATGTTAAGAGTAAATCCTACATAGACTAATGATAAAAAGAGACGCAAATGTTTAGGTGAGAAAATTAGACCGTGGTAGGCCAGTTGTGGTTTGTACCACTCTACTATGGTACTTGATTGTGAACCCTTTGGGGCTCCAAATAGTGAAATTCGCACAAGAAATAATTGAGGCCAATAAAGTTTTCTCATATCATTGACATTCCATTTCCATGTGTATTGGAATATATTCCAGCATGGGCTGCCATGCCGTTTAGAAGATATGGATTAGGTCCTTTAGCCAAGGGTCAGCAATATTACTCAAGAATATAAGAATCTGACGAAATTTCTTGGCTTATAAATACAGATCACCAAATGGAAACATTTATTATCCCAAAAACCCTATCCAGAAATGAGGAAGGAAGGGCTTACATGAAGAGAAGAGGCTTGTTTAGTAGCCAAGAATGACTTGCCTGCATTCTTTCCAAAGATGTATGGTCCGATCAGCCACAGTAACTAGTCGAAAGAATGTGGGCAAGTATGTGTTTTTGTGGGTTTCCAGGCAGTCATCTTGGCTAACTTTACAAGCTCTTCTCTATCATGCTAGTTCTCTCTTCTCACAATCATTTAGCTCTGTTAAATATGTACGTTTATATGCATTCTTGAGTATAAACTAAGGCACCACGCCTATGACACCAAGCATCATCTCTTTCACAAAGTAAAGAAGATAAGAAGAATCCAGCAGGCAGACAAATCCACCCAACACGGTGCTGTAAGTTGCCATACAAATTTCAGTCAACGTATACTAATGATGAATTACTTCTTACAGTAAAAAGATTTAGAAGAATGTTAATCTTGATTTGTATTTTGTACATTTATTTAGTTTTTTGCATTATGATGATGACTGGTTAAATTTGTGGTGACTGCAGATCAATCACAATAATATCGATCGACATTAATAAACTTAAAATAGTGCTGCAAGATATACTAAACAAGATTCGAACTTATTTTTTAAGCTTAGGACTATAAAATAGTCCAATTAATGGTAACAAACATGAATAAAATCATCTAAAGTGCAACGAGAGATGCATTAACTGAATGAAATCAAACTACTCTAATGTGATTTTAACCATAAATTGCTAAAACTAATTGTCCACATAATCTAAAAGGCAATAGCAGAAAGACCAAATGATAGAACCATCACAGGAATCCAAACTTTCCACGACGAATAGAGAGACACGCCACCATTTCTATGAGCATGAGGAGAAGGTGCAGGTGCCTCAACTGGTGCGGGTGATACTGTTGGAAACGTTGGAAGCACAGAAGGAGATGAACTGGGGTGGCTCGGGGGCGCGGCTTCACTGCCGGTGGGGGAAGGGGCGGCGGCAGGGGCTGATTTCGATGCTGCGGAGACCCTAATGTCGACTCTCTGTCCACCTTCGCAGTGGCCGGGAACGCTGCAAATGAAATAAAAGTGGCCGGACTTTTTTATGGTGAACGAGTCATTGCCGGTGGCAAAGATCTCATAAGGGGCGGTGGAATTGCATGCGTTGAAATTCTTGTGTGTCACTCGCATAACATTGTGAAACTCTTTGTTGTACTTAAAGACTGCAAAAAAATTGACAATTTTGGATTTAAGTTTAACCAAAAAGCAATGAACAAATAATAAAAGTTATTCATCTGCATGTAATTGTTAGTCAAGTTTAAGGTACCAAAATCATTAACCTTAACATCAAATAATACATAATAGATTGACATAGAGTCGACTATATATCCTTGTACGAACAATGTTAACATCATTATCGATAAATTTTCGATCGACTAGACCAATATTTTCTTATGTACAAGACAACAATTTGTGGAAAGGGAAATTAATTAGACAAAGGAATTAACAAAAATTGGCTTACGAATGGTGTCTCCAACATGAAAATTCTTAGAAGCAGCCCAAGATTTGAAATCAACGTTGCCAATATTAGTCCAGCCAGCAGCATCACCGACCTTATAAACAGTATTCCCCATAGCCATGGATAATACACAGACAACCTGAATAATAAAGAAGAAAACCATTGCTGTCTTAGCCAAACCCATTGCTAAACCGTAGAAAAAAGAGAGGTACAAAGACAAATTTTGGATGAAAAGATTAAAATAAAGAAGATTAGGGCTGGAATTTCACTAGGGTCGTTCCTAATGGCAATATATATATACAGACGTATATATCTTAGAGGTATTAAATTTGGAAATAAAAGATATGATTGAAATTTTCCATGTTTGATTAGAATATTAGTGGCTTTTTTTGTGTGTGATTACACACTGATGATTCTCTTTCCATTGTAAAATCATGAATGTGGAATGTTTATTGGGGGAAAGTTTATCGGTTAAAATTCTATGCAAATGCATTTGTGTCTGATCAGAGATGTAAACTAATTGGTAAATTAAGTATTAAACATTGAACTGCTAAATTTTTATGCACTAAATAGGAATTTAAGCTTACTGATCAGGTAATTTGTCAAATCAAACACTTGTTAATGATTGAAAATCAATTGATAGAAGTGATTTTTAGTTGCAAATGTTTTGAATGTTAGGTAATTCCACTGCAATAGTGGTTTTCTCGTTATTATTGAATAAAAATGGTATATAAGGGATTGCATAAAATAACATGGAGGGAAAAGATTGGATGAAAAAGTTGACTGTATTTTAAACTAACAAAGAAAATAGTGACATATAACATTATGTCACTCATTACGTAAATATTGATGTATATGTAGCAAGGTACGTCTTTTGTATTATGACTTGATGAAAAACATAAGGCCAACCTACATAGGTTTGAATTGAGGAGTTTTTAATTTAGTTGACAACAGTTGCAATAAATATAAATCTTAAAATTTTGCTCTTATTGAAAAGCAATTTTTGTCAAAAATTTTCCTAGTTTACCTTTATTTATATTTGTACAATTTCAAGATTAAATGGGAAAATTTGTTTATAACTAGGCAAACTAAATACAAGCTAAGTGATTCGAGTGACAAAGAAAAAACAACAAACCGATTAGAGCAATGCAACTACGGCTTAATAGCTCATGGCTCAAGTGAAATCGAGGTAAAATAAAATGGGAGTTCCGATAATTCAATAGCTACCCATATCAATCAAGGTCTATTTGTCCAATTCTTCTAAGCATTGGCAAGGATATATTAGTAAATGAACAAAAAAAAAAAATTCTCAACAGAGAAACATGACTATATACTTAGGACAAGAATATAAAGAAAGTCGATCTATATAAATGGAATAAAGTGAGTATTATATTTTAGGTGACTTCGCTTCCATATCCACTAGCGTTAGGGATGTCAACGAGTCAAGTCGGTTCTTCTAAATCTTCGATTGCTTACTAAAGTTTAAAATATTTGAATATTAAACGTCAATCAATGACTTAACTTCCGTTTATAACCTCTAACGGTAGTAGTGACGTCGTTGACGGAATGTCCAAATAGCTCCACATCACTGTTATCATGTAAAAAAAAAGTCTTTCATTGTTCACTATATTTAGAAAATCTCTTCGATTGCTCACTATACTTTGAAAAATGTTTTTGATTGCTCATTATACTTTGAAAGAAGTCTTTGATTGTTCACTAAATTTTGAACATGATCGAATTTTGGCCACCAAACTTTTGTAAATGAGAACAGCCTGTCTCAAAATTTCCCACTTGAGCCGACTTCATTTTCATAAATTTAGTGACCAAAATTCAACTACTTTCATAACTTAGTGAACAATCGAAAATGTTTTTCAAAGTATAGTGAGCAATGAAGATGTTTTCTAAAGTATAATAAGTAATCGAAGACATTTGTTATAGTATAGTGAGTAATGAAAGACGATTTTTTCTGGGATAACGGTGGTGTGGCGTCACCTAGACATTCCCTCAACCCTGTCAGCCAGTGAAAAATGTCCAACATTTGGATAAATTCATTGATCAAATCTCGACATTTTAAAGTTTAGTGAGCACTCAAAAGGCATGAACATAAGTTCAGTGATTATTGAGACAATTAACTCTAAAATATATCCAAACTTCCAAAATCACCAAGAACTATCATAATTCGGGGCAAGCTAAACTGAACATAATAAAAGATTGCTACAATGATGAAACCACAAGATGATCGTCCCAATCAAAGAAACACATTAACATAAAGCCCAAAAACAAGCAAAAACAACACAATCTTGCTACAAAAGTCGAAGGGCAGGAGAGACTCTGCCCTATTCTGAGATGGGCTGGGCGTAAATGACCCACTTGGAGAGGTCGTAGGTACTGCCTTGTGGCTTGGAGGAGCTCGAATTGGGCTTGAAACTGGCACTGCAGTTGGCTGAAGAGCCTTGGGCACCCTTATATCAACCTTCTGTCCAGCCTCGCAGTGGCCAACAAAGCCACATGTATAGTAGTAGTGGCCCGGGCTCGTGATAGTTATCGAGTCATTGCCAGTCGAGTAGGTGGCTAGAGGCGAAGACGAGTTACAAGAGTGGAAATCCGGAAGGGCAACTTGCAGCACATTGTGAAACTTAGCATCGTAGTTGAAAACTGCACAAAAGCAAAACACATTATTGTTCTTTTTTCTGTTAGCAGATCAAATAGTCCAAAATAAATGTACAAGAAAGGATAGATAATTGGTGGGAAATACTTTGTTAAATGCCCTGTATCAGTTGAAACTTAGAACTGTTGAAGACACCATTTGAATGAATAAACAAGAAAAATACATTCTCAATTGTATCATTTTTGTATATGTTAGCAGCATCAGAATTTTCCCATTCATATTCACTAGACATGAGTATTTAACAATTAACATAGTAAGATTTGTGAAGAAGATAATTAACTTACTGAGAGTGTCGCCGATTTGAAAGGTCTTAGAAGAAGCCCACGTATTATAATCAACATTTCCAATGATAGTCCAGCCAGCAGAATCGCCAACTTTGTAAACAGAACCCAAGCAAAATCCAAAAACCGCCATTAATGAGCAGAAAAATATTTCCGTTTTCACAAAACCCATCATTCAAATTTGAAATATAGGAAAAACTAAAAAGAGAGGTGTTTCTTGGAGATATATTATAGAGAAAAAAGTGAATGATGAATGGAAATATTCGTGCAAGGGTCACTCACTCTAACCGTTTTTGCAGAGTGGGTGTAGAACATGTTATTTGGCTCACAATCAATGCATGAAGAGATTCTCAATAATCGTGAAAGTTTTAGGCCGAATGTTCACTTGTTATTAGACCCAATTTAACTATTGACCCAACTCGATTATCGGATCACTTCATCGTTGGTTAAACCTATTATACATTATTTGGACAATCACTATGTTCAAAACGTAATTTATCTAGTCTTTGTATTTGCATTATTTCTTCTCTCTTTCTTTGTCTTATAGTCAACTAAAAAGCATGTTTGGTTAATCGTAACAAGTCTACTTACAAGTAAATAAGTTTGTTTTGATATAAATTACATTTTTTGTTAATTAAAGTTTAAAATAATTGAGCTGCTTAGTTTTTATTTCACAAGTTTATAAATGATATATCAAAAAATAAAAAATAAAAAATAAAAAAATTTAGTATTGATTTCAATGAAATGGGTAGGTAATAACTTTACTGAATTTATGAAGTATTTATAAATTTGTACTCGAAAGCTTATTTTGTCATTTACTTCTACACAAGTAACTATTTCACTTTAATTAAAATATTTTAAAACTGGCACTTTATGTCAACATAAAATTTAACGTCTTCTTATATCTCATAGGGTGCAAAGCGTGTGTCTAGCACGTAGCATTGAAATGAAGACGAGAATATATAAATTCCTGTTTATTGTGTGTGTATGTGTGTGTCCATCCAGTCCAAAATACCAAAACTCTCACAAGTAGATACACATTTACCTTGATTCATCTATTACGTCCAAGATTTCTAGAGTTTTAACTATGATAATTTGAAGTTCACAAACATTGTCAAGATAATTGCTCGAGAATAAAAGCATGGTCGACATTAACCAAAACATTTAGGTCGAACCGTTGAAAGGGTGTTTGATAAGCATTTTTATGTAAAAATACATTTTAGAATAGTAAATTGATGTGAAATGTGTGGTTGAAAAATAAGAAAAAAATTTTTATTTACGTGTAATATTATTTTAATAAAGAATGTGTAATTAAAAAGAAGAAAGAGAAAAATGCATTTTGAAAAAAATGACTACCAAACGGGACCTTAAACCAATGAGTGACCTGCAAAATCCCTCCACCCCAACTGATTCTCCATACCCACAAGTTCACAAGTTACCAAAACCTTAATAGGGAGAAAAGCAAGAGTAGTTACTACATTCCAACTGGTTTAAATCGAAAAGTAGTGTTTCCATATTATATGATACTTGGGAAAATCTTGTTGAATTCTACTGACCTTAGACTCAAACTGGACAAATAACCAATGTTCTACAAATTCATAACATATCCAATGCATATGCTTTCAAATTAAGAAAAACAGATTTAATCATATTCCAACTCATCCGGAGTAATTGGCCGCTTGAGAGGTATAACAGACTTCTTTTCTACGTCCCGAGATAAAGCTTTCCTCATATCTGAGAAATGAACCGAAAAACCAAGAAAAAGAGATCAAAAAACTACATTTTGTGAAGCAAAATAATGAACTGGTAGTCATATGCAGCAACTCACCCAACCCATCCTCTTCTCCGGAGTAATAGCGTAGTACCCGTCTATAAACTATATAGCCAAGCTGAAAGGACAAACAGAGAAATGAGCAATGTTACTTAAATCACATTCGAAAAGAAAATACATTATACAGAGCCTAACTAACAGAAATTACAAAATAATACCTTTTCATACATCTTGATAGCAGGTGTATTTGAAGCTCTCACGAAAAGATCAACGAAATAAGCCTTGTCACTACAAAAATGAAGCACGCTTTAAGCTCATCCAGCAAACTATGAAATCTCGGGATATAAAAATTGGTAAAAGGAGGGCACGATAAGCTTCTAAAGCAATGTAAAATGCAAGAGTTCAATGTTAAAAAAATGTTGGATTACATTTTATTTTACAACTGATTGCACTGTTAAATCTCAATATAATCTTGTTTCTATGAACTAAACCCTGAAGCAAGCACAATTTCATTCATCAAACTATGTCCACTTACATCTTGTCACTGACGTCCTCAAGCAGGTTCATGAGTTTCTTGGCCAATTGTTGCCTGCGAAATTCAGGAGCTACACTCACTGCAGTGACATGACCATGCCATGACTCCCCTTGTCCTTCAACTTTTCCCATGACTGAAAGCACATTGAAGCATTATGACATTGTCCGATATATTATCAGAAGATATAGACAACAGCCAAAATTTGAAGTAATAATAGAAAGGGAAGCAGGAACGTATAACTTTCATACGTCGTCACTGTAGGTTGTGTGGGGACTAATGCAGTGTACACTTTATCCCCTCATCCGCGGTTCGTCCTTCGCGATAAAGGCAACTGGGGGTTTGGGATGCTTTGGGACATTCGACATGTATTAGGAAGCCCCAATATTTTCTTCCTGTGTAAAGAGTATTAGGACGAGCCTCCATTCTGTATAACATAGTGAGTCCGATAAATTGGATTTATCTTATTCCATATAGTGCAATTGTGGAGCAGCATTAGGTGCACATAGATCTCACACTGAGAGTAAAGCACCTAATCATGTGTTTTTCTTACTTCCACTTTTCTTATTTCGGATGATTCATTGCTCTCTTTAGTATGGGGATTATTCGTTTAATCCATAACTGTCACCATTTACTCCTAAATTTTTGGAGTCCCGTTAGTAAAACACTAAACCAAAGGTTAAAAATCATTTCAAGCGTACAACCTTCCTACAGCTCCTAAATCCCATCTTATATCTTTCTACAAGTGTCATGCCATATCTTAGGCCCTCAAGAGGACAATATATTTACAATCAATTCCAGGAGTGCCAATTAGCCCTTACTATGGAAACACTAAAACAAAGGTTAACAATCTTTTGAAGCATGCAGTTTTGTCAAAGTCCCAAATGGATCTGTTCTATCTTTACTCAAAACCAATGCCATGCCTTAGGCCCTCCTTAAGGGAGATTTTGCTTTCTGAAATCCTCTAGATGTCAGTTCCCAAACAGAAAACGCACTAAACATAATTGTATGTTGATTCTCTGCATCAATGTTATTTTATCGACAGCCTTCAGATGTAAACCACAGACACTCCTATAGGGGTGACATGTTCATGTTTAACACTTGCAGATTCCAGAACATGTGTCTAACAAGGTCGGTAGCTTGTCAAGTTTTTATATAATTCTAAATCTTCCAACAATTGAGGAACACTTTCTACATACCTTAGATATCAGTCTGGCATGCCAAGTGGTTTGGCCAATACACCTTTTAATTTTTAACACGCGAGGACAAGCACTTTTTAAAAGATGTGCATGTCTCTCTTTTGAATATTTGTTTTCATTTATATAGCCAAAGGGATATTCACAATCTTCATTGCGAAGGAGTGGGATTTGAAATCTCTGTAATATGTTTATTAACAACCTCCTGAAATGTAAGAAAGAGAAATTTCTAATCCAAGATAGAAAAAGATCTCTTTCCATCCTTTAAGTCTTTAACCGAACAGTGGCAAGTTGATTGTAATAGGTTGATTCAATTGTGGACGCTAGGACTAAAGGTTGAGGATATTAAGGATTTGAAGTAGAGGAAGCTTGAGATTCCATTGCTGAGCTAAACATTGTCCACTGATTCTGATACCAAATTAAAAAAGAGGAGAAGATACTTCAGTGAAAGAATTTTTAAATTCCACTCAAAAAATTCATACAGCACACTAGATTAAGCAAGAAAATGCAACAACCTAACTTGTCATATGCATAGACATGTTATAACACAAAGCTTAGATACCGATAGGAATATTGTGAGGTGTACACATCTTAATAAGGACCTAATCACCAATATCTCCAATAATTGTCATTGCAATCAAACTTCACAAATATATCTCGAAAGTTATTCAAGTTGATTGAAATTAAGTTTAATTATGGAACGAATCATAACATATAGATGCATTTTCAATGCTCTACTAGCTTAAAGTCAAAAGAGTGGAGTGGAGGTTAACTTGGATAATAGTTGGCATTCACCTATTAAAGCCACTCCCTTTTGAAGTAGTTTCTGCTGAAGAAAAGATTACTCTTATAAAGAAAAGATGATGAATATCTGTAACTAGAAGTCTAGAATGCAAGAAATTCTGGATGAGAGATTGCATGAGAGAAGAACCTTGGGAGATTTTGCAGCTATGAAATATAAAATTTCTGACTTTCACATTCAGGACAATGCTGCTTTCTAAGGGGGCCAACATGCACTTGGAGGTTAGTTTTCTATTCAAATTTCGAGTATAGGTTCTCACGAGAAGGGGATAATAATAATTTTGCAGCTATGAAATATAAAATTTCTGACTTTCACATTCAGGACAATGCTGCTTTCTAAGGGGGCCAACATGCACTTGGAGGTTAGTTTTCTATTCAAATTTCGAGTATAGGTTCTCACGAGAAGGGGATGATGATGATGATGATGATGATGATGATGATGATGATGATGATGATGATAATAATAATAAAAACTGATAAACCCTAAACTTGCCACAAACAATCAAAAACCATTCATTCTAAATCTAATTCCATAGAATCAACAGCGAGAAAAAAAAATCTAAAAATTCAAAAATATAGAACACTCATTGGTGCTTTTTTCAGTAAACAAAATAAAAAATATGAAACAGTAAGCAAAAATTACATAAAGAGGGAAACTTACTGTAACCCATGATTCGGTTGCCGGGAGCTTCAGCCACATGGAAATAATCGGGCCACCGCGCCAAGTATGTCATATAGAATGACATGTTAAACTGCAATCATTAATATCATGCATTGATTAATTAACATCATTTTCACGGAAAGTTATAAATAAATCTATACATAAGAAAATATATATATTAATAATTGGGGAAAGAATGAAATTACAGTTTCAGTCAGGTGATCGAGATTCACTGATGCGAATCGGAGGAGATCGTCGCAGCAAAATCTTCGAAGCGTCGTCATCTCCCTGTGGGTCTTCGCTATTCAGCCTATGCGAGTGCTTATTGGGGGGACAACTTGTGGATTTGGGGGATTTTTTTTTTTAAGCCCTGCAGTGAAAAAAAGGGTGAATTGAAAAACTAAAAACTAAGGGGGTGTTTTCTTTGTGTTTCAGTTTTGTGTTTTGAGTTTTGAATTCATTTTGAGTTTTTGTGTTTTGAGTGTTTGTTTTGAAATTGTTGAAAATGCGTTCTTTTTGTTAGTTTCTCAAAACAAAAAACAAAAAAAAAATTTTTTTTTTTTTAATTTTGAGAATCACCACAACACCACCTCAAAACACAAAAAAAAAAAAAAAAAAAAAAAAATTTTTATATTTTTAAAAAAAAACCCCCATTTCTAATAACATAAAAAAAAAAAAAAAAAAAATTTTTTTTTTTTTTTTTTTTTTTTTTTTTTTTTTTTTTTTTTTTTTTTTTCCCCCCCCACCTTTTTAAAAAAAAAAAAAAAAAAAAAAAAAAAAAAGAAAGTGTTTCCCGCGTTTTCAATTTTTTCAAGTTTTACACTGAAAACGCCCAAAACGACAAAAAAGTCGTTTTGTGTTTTCTTCACAAATTTTTTTTCGTTTTCGAAAACGAGAAAAAGAACGCGTTTTCACCGTTTTGAAAAATCGAAAACAGAAAACGACCCGAAAACGGTAAAGAGAACAGGGCCTAAGTTACCGTTTGTTAGCCATTTTCTTCAAAATGTTTTTTTTTCTTTTTTTCAAGCACATATTTTTTATTAAAATAATATTACACGTAAATTAAAAGATTTTTCTTATTTTTCAACCACAGATTTCACATCAATTTATTCTTTTAAAATATATTTTTACATAAAAATGCCTATCAAACATCTCCTAAAATGTCGCTCAAACCTCCTTGAACTTTGAGTCTTTGCCCGAGTCGCTTGTGTGACACACAATTTAACCCTTGTTTGAAATCTATTTTATGCTGAAATGAATTTTATAATAGTAATTTTTTAGACAATGTGCAATTATAAAATGTGTAATATTATCCATAATCGTTCACTGCAGTAGTTGTTTATTCTATATGTCGATTTGTGATTAGATGTATTAATATAGTAATTTTTTTTATTTCATATATCAAATTACTAATCACCACATGCATGGCACGTAGAGCGACTATGACAGTAAGTAATTGCAAATAACATTATTCTTATAAAATAAGAAAAAAAATTTAAATCTACTTGCAAATTATTTTCTTAATAGAATGTGTGATTGAAAGTGAATATAAAAAAAAATGAATTATTAAATAATGGGGCCCAAACGGTGTCTTATCTGTGTGGCACAAATTTCTATCAATTATCCCTTCGAATGATGGATGGAGAGCTTTCTAGCAAATGAGGTGATTCTTCAACAACATTTTAAGTTCAATAAAGATTCTCGACCTAAAAGCTTAAGCTCTAGTTTGATATGGATTAAAATTCATATTTTAAATAAAGTCAAAATTAACAATAAATTTTGACAACATGGGTTTCATAACTTTTCAGTCATACATTTCATCAATTTTTATCAAAATATATTAAAATTTGATTTTAATCATCACCAAACATGGGTTAATTATTTTTTAGACAATTAATTCGAGTTTTATAATTAAGTAATTAACCTATTGAAATTTTTTAACGGACTTCCAATTTAAGCAATGTTTTCCTTTTGGACAACTTACAAAGATACCATTAAAATTAAGGATCTTTTAAAAAAATCATATAAAAGCATTTTCGAAATAAAAAATATTGTATAAAATTAATTGTCACTTTTTCATAGATAAAAAAAGTGACACAATGTCACTTTTTTATTAAGAAATGACATACAATATCACTTATATTAAAAAGTGATTTTTGTCACTTAAAAAGTGATAGAAATTTCAAGAAGGTGACAGAAAAGTGACACACATCAAAAGAAGTGACAAAAATCCAAAAAAAGCGACAAAAAATGACAAGATATAAAAAAAAACGTCAAACGCTAAAAAAAAAATATATATATATGTGTGTGTGTGTGTGTGTGTGAGACCGCCCTTAAACACTCAATTGGCGTGATCACCCAATAATACACTGGGTGACATTGTGTCGCATGGTTAACACTTTCCATTAAAAAAGTGGTATTATTATTATTATTATTATTATTATTATTATTAAATAGATACTCTCCAAATACCCTTTTTAACTTCTTTTTTTTGGTTAAAAATAGTATCCAAATACCCATTAAAATTTTAATGCATAAGCCAATTTTTCATAAATGCTATCGCACCCCCATACATGGTGAAATAGCACAGAAATAAATTTGACAATCAGAGTTGTTTTCTTATTTGATTTGATTACTTTATGGAACCTGTTTGGACGCAAATTTTGCCTCATTATGGGCTTTAATAATGCAAAACTTCATTCAACAGTTGGAGACATATCTCATGTCATATATTATACAATTTTTCGCAATCAAGAAAGACAATCTACTACTCTTTCATAAGGAATCGAAAGGCAAGATACAGGAAATCAATCTTTTAAATATTATTTCTCAATTTTTGGGCAAAAAGAATAAGATGCAACTGGAGATTAATTAATCAAGATTAAAGAGATTTAATATTTCACAACTTCTCTTTTTCTTCATATATTTCAAATTGAGGTGACGTCTTATTACTTCAATATGATTTCTGGTAACATTATAATATTAGGCTAAACTTGTAATCTATAAGACATCAATAAAGGTAATCTCGTCTCTTTCCAATATTATTATGGTTTATCTGTCGTTTTATCGATGACTTCATTATTTTGTTTTTTACGCTGTATATTCTTTTAGATCATTTTTAAAATAAGTGGACTCGTTTTATCAACGAACATGCAATCCACGTTGGTCACACTAATTTTGTTAAAAAGGTGAAATTTTAAAAATTAGGTGGTTAGTAGTTTGGATTAACGCCCAACTTTAACTTCCGAACGATTGCCCAAGCGGTTTAAGGGCAAAACATTCAACTGGGCAATCGCCCATTAAAGCATAGGGTAACTAGCCCGTGTAAAACTAGTGACATTGTGTCACTTTGTTACAAAAAGTGTGACGTATGAGCACTTAACAATATTACAGTATATCTGTTCACTGGAAGATAAATATTGTAATGTTGAAAAAGTGACAAAAACATTGTAACATACAAGAGCTTTACGTGTTCATTATGTCACTTTTTGTTATGCCAACAATAATGCTAGTTTTTGAAGCATTGTAATGTTAAAAAAGTGACCACTTTTTGTTAAAAATGTGACATTATGTACGAACGGCTAGCATGTTCGAAGCGACTAGCATGCCATTCACTTGAACCAACCAGTTAGAAGCACTGTTACACAGTAACTAACTCATTGAGATTTTTTGAAAATCTCCTACTCCTACATCAACTTTTTCGAATTTAAATGTTTCTCAAACCATCTTCATTAATTGTTATTGTTATACTTTTTGTTATTATATTTCACTTCTATTGTCTAAACATAGAAAATAATTTCATTTTAGGAACATAACATCCTGTAAATTGAAATTTATAGAAATTCAAAAGAAAAAAAAAGTGACAATAACTAAAAAAAGCGACAAAAAAAATTATAAAATAAAGATAAAAACCAAAAAGTGACAAAAACTAAAAAAAGGGGGGACAAATAAAATTTATTAGCAATCTAAGAGCCCGTTTAGTACACATTAATGTAAAAATGAGAATGAAAAATATAATCGTTATGGGCCCACATAAGAGATAAAAATTCAAATTTGGTGGCTTGATGTAATGGATAACGTCAATATTTTTTCATTTTAATGAAGAAAAAATGAGAAACAAACGGGGCTAAATAGCATTTCCTGGATGTTTCATCAAAATTTTAAAATAAATTTAGGGGATGGTTGATTTTTTCCTATATATTTTTTTTGGTGATCATGTTTCACTTCCATTAATTATCACATTAAATTGGATTTTGAAGCAATTCAATAAAGTATCAAAAGTGACAAAAAGTGACAAAAATTCCCCAAAAAAAAAAAAAAAAAAAAAACCCCAAAAAAAAAAAAAAAAAAAAAACCCCAAAAAAAAAAAAAAAAAAAAAACCCCAAAAAAAAAAAAAAAAAAAAAACCCCAAAAAAAAAAAAAAAAAAACTTTAAAAAAATAGACATCATATCAACCATAAAGTTCCTTTTTTGACTTCATAACAACATGGAAAGTGAAAGGAAATGACATTTTGTACAAGTACCTAAATTAGTTGTGGTTTTGACACAACTCGGGCCGAGTGGGGAAAAATGAGCTCAAGCCTATTGAGAGATCTCAATTAGAGTTGAGCATTTTAATAAATTGCACGACTAGAATCTAAATTGAGTGATTTTTTAACTTGATTAAATTGGAAGAAAGAAATTAATGGAACTCAAACTAAACGATCTCGATAAAAGTTGGTAGGGAAAAAAGAAACCAACTTGATTTGAATCCAATAATCCACTGCAAAAATAAAAATATCAAATCCACTCCAATCGAGCTCTACATATAGGCAGAAGGAGATGATTTGATTCCCAATTTTCTGAATTTTATTATCTAGGGTGCAAAGGTAAAATAAAGATTATTCCTATTATGATTTGAACCAAGTCGTAAATCTTGATTCTAATTTTGATTTCTAGTATAATCATGCAGGACTAAAATTCAAATTCAATTAAGGGTAACCATTCCCATGGATTGTCAACCAAACAACTTTCCATGAACAACCGACATTAAATACAAAATAATGAAAAATACATTCAAAGAAATAAAAGAATTAGGAGACGACTACACCCGTAGTTTAAAAATAGTTTCAACATAAATTCAAGAAAAAAACCCATACACCACATAGTTTAATACAGTCTAAGCGTAAATTCTAAGAAAAACCCACATCCGCACACACGCATATATCCAAAATTTCGTGATTGAGTTTGGTGGGTTTTCGGAGAATTCATAATCTAATCATATTAATGTTTCTTTGTGGGGGCACATATCTCCAATTCAAATTGCCCAGTATCAAGAAAGATTCAGGAAATCGAGTTTGGTCAGTTCTCGAAGGAGAAGGT